CCCCAAAACCCCAAAACCCCAAAACCCCTACTTATTAGAATAAGAACATTTATGAATTAAAAATTATTGCAAGTCAATAAAAAGAATATAATGGCAACGTTAGATATTAAGAATAGGATTGCCTCTAAACAACTAGATATGAATTCATTGAATAGTTAAATCTAAATGCAGAATAAGAATTTGCTGGGGAAGAATGACAGTATTGATTAAGCTCTAAATGAGTAAAATTAGAATCTATAAGGCTATATGAATGAAATATAAAATGGCGAATCAAATCTTGATTCCTCAGCTATTACCAATACTGTAGCTTACTAAATTGAGGAGAGGAGTTTGCATTGTCCTTAATTAGAAAATAATGTGCTGTTTCAAAAACTACGTCACAGACTAAGAAAATTCTTTTACACTTAGGAGGAATTTAGGAGAAATGGTGGAGTGTCAAAAAAGCAAGAGGAATCAGATAGAAAGTTAGGAATAAACTTCAGCTACAAAATATAGCTAAATAATGGGCTAAGAAAACTTCTAAGGTAGGTTGTGGTAACAAAGGACAGAAAACTGCAATTAAACAATCTAAGCAAAGTTTATACCTGGTATTTTGCGAAATTAGAAGCCATTGGAATGGTAACCAGTGGAGATAAGTAAGATGAAGAAATGACGCTAAACCCAGGGAGATTAGATGAATAAGCCAAAGAAAAGTTGGAGAAGGATTAGTGCAAGAGATAGCAGTTACTGAATTAGTCAATCCTCTTATAGAAAACAAAAAAGATGTTTGAAGATAATGAGAGATCTGATCATAAAGATATTATGCCTGCCAAGTATAGACTAACAGATTACAAAAGAAAAAGCTTCGGTAAACTTTTTACTCAGTAAAGTTAGGATAGACCAATGAGTGGAGCTACATCTAATTTTGGAAATGCTGAAGTGACAACATAAGCCCAGTCAAATTTTGAAGAAGATGAAAGATCGACTTACTCTCATCCATTCAAACTATTCTATACTTCAGGAGAGCCAGTTGTATTTTAGAGTCAAAATCGGTTTGAAGGTAAATCGAATTATCAGAACTACTATCCTACAACAGACATAATGGAGTAAAAACTTGAGAAGTTTTGGTTCTATAATTAAAATAAAACTTTGTCTGATAAAAGAAGGGATGAAGAAATTAAGCACCAGATTAGAGAATGGAGTGTGGCTAAATCTAAAGTTGAAGAAGAAATTTAAAGAAGAAAAGAACATAAGGAGGAAGGTTCAAATTTTTAAGCTAGAGCATTTGTTAGAAGGAGTTGGAAAACTAAGAATTTCAATCCTAATAATAATCCATTACTGGAAGATTCCTCATCTGATGAAGAAGATGAGTTTGATAGAGAGCCACTAGAGTTAAAGCATGATCAAACTGGTAGCCAAAATAATACCTTATCTCCATAAACAAAATAAAATCTAGCTGTGAATGAGTATAATGATAGTTATTAAATAAAGGAAGAGAAAGATGAGGATGATGATGACTTTTTAAATGATTAATCAAATGTAATATAATCTCTAGATAACTCTAAAAATATCTCAGATCAAAGAAATAGGGAATCTAAATTTAATCCAAGATTTAGACCAATAAAAAGCACAAATGATAGGCAAAGGACTAAATTTCATGATTTAACTTCAGATTAAGTCAAGTATGGTATAAGGCCCTCAACAGCAGTTCAAATAAATTAACTTAGATCAATAACTGCCTTTAATTAGTCGTTGCCTAAAAATAAATAAAACTAGTCCTTACCACTCATCTAATCAACCAATGTTGGTGTTATTAATCATATTAAAAAGGACCACAAGACAGATACAATAGAATTGATACCTAAATTTGGTCCTATCGGTGTGATAGAAGACTATTTAGATCCAAAACTTGGTCAAAATAAGTATTCACTAGATGGTAAAACTAGAAATATGTCTGTAGAATCAGCCAAAAAAAGAATTGAAACTTTAAGAAAATATAGAGGAAACTTAATTTAAGCCACTTAAGTAGTTGATGAAAATCATCTTGACAATGTATTTATGTCCTCTAGTAAGGGATAAGAGACTTATTCACTTTCTCTCTATAATAGAGCTTAGAAATTTATAAGGCCATAAACAGCAGCTCAATCTAATAACTTTATGAAATCAATTGAAAAGGCATAAGGAGGGAAAGCGGAAGATATTGATACTTCAAGAGATTCAAAACTGCCAGATTTTCAAGTTCCCAAAGGACTTGGCATGCTATCAAGAGCTGCTGTCGATGGCTATAGACTATAGCAAATGAATGAAATTGAGTTGATCAAAGACAGGCTTGCAAAAGATAACTGTCCATAAAACATGGTGGTATTGGAGCGAGCTGTATTATTGCCAAATGATGTCGAATATACACCTGGTGAGAGAGTTTATCCAACACCTGAGATGGGACTAATGATAAATCCATTTCCAAAGGTAGTTAAAGGCAAAAAGAAGAAGAAGAGTAAGAAATGATGAAGAATTCAAACAAAATCCTAGAAAAATGAGATATAATTTTAAGTAAATAATACATTCTCAATTACATTCATTAAGCCTTTAACTTAACTTTAAATTTTTAATTCGATTACACCTCAGATTGAATGACTTAGACTAATGGGGTTTTGGGGTTTTGGGGTTTTGGGG